ATGAATAAACTGCCAACAACTGGGAATCGTTCTTTAAGATTTGGAGAATAAGCACTTACAGCTAAAACAACTGAATATGTTTGACTGCATGATGGCAAGCAATGCCTCAAGATTCTTTTTTTTGGGGGGAGGGGATGAGGGCTTGGACTCCATGTATTATCAGTATAAGAAATTGTGAGTGTGTATACATACATTGTTCTATACCTTTACACTAAGAAACAAGAAGAAAAGTTGAGCTGTCAGAGAAATCCCAGTGTAGGTTAGCATGCCAGGCTAGAGCCTGGGAAACCAGGCTTCAAATCACCACTCACCTAAGAAGGTCACAGGGTGACCTTGGGCTAATCACATAACCTGAAGGAGTAGCTCCACCCCCATCGTTCTGCCCAGATGCTGAGGTCCAGCGCCGAGGGCCTTCTGGCAGTTCCCTCACTGCGAGAAGCCAAGTTACAGGGAACCAGGCAGAGGGCCTTCTAAGTGGTGGCGCTGGCCCTGCGGATCGCCCTCCCACCGGATGTCAAAGAGAAAAACAACTACCAAACTTTTAGTTACAGATAGGTAGCCGTGTTGGTCTATGCCATAGTCAAAACAAAAAAATCCTTCCAGTAGCAACTTTAAAGACCAACTAAGTTAGTTCTTGGTATGAGCTTTCGTGTGCAAGCACACTTCTTCAGATACACTGAAACAGAAAGTTGCCAGATCCTTCTATATAGTGAGAAGGTGGGGAGGGGTATTACTCAGAAGGGTGGTGGGAATGGGGATTGGCAGATAGCTGAGATGAGCCTGTTGACGACTCTTAACGACTGCAATAGGTCTTACAGGAAAAAAGCAAGGGGTAAGAAGGTGAGAAATGGTTTGTCATGTATAATGAGATAAAATCCAATGTCTTTGTTCAGACCAGGTCTCTCCATGGTTTTAAGTTTGGTAATGAGTGTAATTCAGCAGCTTCTCTTTCCAGTCTATTTCTGAAATTCCTTTGTAGTAAAACAGCTACTTTGAGATCTTGTATAGAATGTCCTGGGAGATTGAAGTGTTCTCCTACTGGTTTCTCTGTCTTGTGATTCTTGATGTCAGATTGTGTCCGTTTATTCTTTGGCGTAAGGTTTGGCCTGTTTGTCCAATATAGAGAGCTGAAGGACACTGTTGGCATTTGATGGCATACACAATTGTTAGACGATGAGCAATTAAATAGTCCCGAAATGGTATGTGTGATGTTGTTGGGGGCCAGTAATGGGTGTTGTTGTCCGGGTATATGTGGCAGCAAAGTTGGCATCTGGGTTTATTGCAGGCTCTGTAAATACTTTTTAGGTATTTATACATTATCTGAGTGGTGTTACCTGAAACACTGCATGCTCCTGGTAATTATAGTGATCCCCTTTTTGAAGGGTTGCGGTCATAAAGGACCTTTGTGTACAGTTTTTAGAATTTCATTAAAAAGTCATTTAGCAATTTTTGCAGGGCAAGAGTAGCAAAACATGTAGAGAAATAGCCATTCTTACTATGCAACTTCATGGCGTAATTATGTTAAACAACTGCATCATATTGACTATCAAGAACTGCTCAAGCAAAGCATACAAATCAAGCTTTCCTGCTTACATCGTTTTTTTGCCTCCTCAAATTCCAGTGATTATGCTTGTTTGCTGTCCCTGATTTTGGATTGGGTTGTGTTTTCTGCCCTCAGCCTGCAGTTACGTTGTTTTGGAAATATATGCAAAATACATTTCCTCCTTTTTGAAGTACTGTGAAGGGTGAGAAAATACTGTCATTGTGTCAGAGCAGGTGTTGTGCAGTCTGGCCCTGGAGATGTAATTATGAAAACTGGTTTGGAAGATCTATTTTGTTATTTCATAGTTATTCCAAACTCCTCCATCTGAAATTCCTCTGCCAAGAGCCCTTTTTGGCTGCAAGTTTTTTGGAAGTGAGGCAGTGTATTTCAGCATACTGCATTTCTCTGTAGATGGTACTCTATGAGAGCCACAATCTCTTTCATTTTGGGGATGAAACCAGATATGACACCAGGAGATCTGTGATTGGATTGTCCCCTTCCCCCCCACCTCAAATGTCAAAAGCTTGTGGTGGATTTTAGATCAGAGCTACAGCACTGGGGAATAGGTTTTTAACCCCCATCCCATCTACAATTTCCCCAATCTTTATTCTTCTGTCTACCCCAAAGCTGCTCCATAACACAGTTCAGTATTCCTATTTTAGCTGTGTTATGAGGGTATTAGTCCTAATACAAAGGGACTACTGTATATTATTGCTAAGAATTTGCTCAACTGTAGGGAAGTGTCCAGGCTAATTTTTTCAGATTCAACAACTGCTACTCCTGTATTGATTATCTGCATGTCTCAGAAAGCCTATACTAGTTAAAGGGATGAACCCAGTCCACAGCCTGCATGGCTGCTTTCTGACCAGGTGTGTAAAAGAACTTCTAAGGACATTCCCACTTGCTTCCGATGCTTCTGGTTAAGTGGTAAGGTAAAGTTGGCAACACCAAATGCTGCTGTGCAGACTTCCTGTCATCAATTCTCTTAAACTTTAAGCTGGATTCCTGACTTGCCTGCTAGAGGACTCAGACAAGTGGTAGCCCCTCCTCCAATACTTGGACCGTGTTTTCTCTCTGTAAATTCTGAAAGCTCATTCTAGAAATTCATTCTGCTGCAGCTGCTATATCCTATAGCTGGGGGGGGGGGGGGGTTTCCCTGCATCCTGATATTCTGAACTTTTTCTTTTCAGGCTACGAAGAGACTTTGACTCACCTCGCTGCCATTTTAGCCAAGCACTTTGCTGATTCAAGGATTGTGGGAACTGGTAAGGCAGCTCCTGTTTTCCAGAGGTCATGCTGGGCTGTAGGTGTTATGTGTGTGCATGCGTGCGGCACATGCATATGTGATTGGGGGAAAGAAAAATTAAGCTCATGCTTGCTGATTTTTTATTTTATTTCTACTTGATACTTTCTTGAATAGTAAGGTCTCTGTTTCTAATGTTTTTAACACCTCAGATCATTGCAGAACTCAGTTATTATTTTTGGGTTTGACATTTGTCTTTACAGTATATCCTGTCCTGCTTACTAGTCCTGTAACTGTAGTAAACTATGCTTGCAATATTTCACAAGGTGAAAATCTGGATAGAAAAGTTTCTGTTTTTGAGCTATATTTATGAAAAATCAGCAACAATGGCACTACTGACATGGGTTGCCATATGTCTGAATTTTACTGCACATTTTTTCGATTTCTGCCCAGACACTACTGCCCACTTCAGTATTCTGAATATGTCCAGGAAATCCCAGACGTATGGCAACCCTAAGTATGCAATTGCACCACAATATCTGAAGTATTTTTCTGGCAATCTGTGTCCCTATTATCCCTACTCCACTTACATTCTGTCTTGTTTCCACATTCAGACATCAGAGACTCCCTAATGCAGGCATTGGCCAGCTATGTTTGCTACCCACACTCACTCCGTGCTGTAGAGAGGATTCCAGAACTGCAGTAAGTTCTTGGTTTCACCATTCCTGAAAAATATTATATGTCCTGGAAGAGGATTATTTCTCTCTTCTTCTCTGAACCAGGCATGACTCCTATACTCACAATCCCTTTTGTGTGGAAGCTGCTGCTCCCCGTGTTTCCTCACATTGCACTTCTGATTCTTCCCTCTCAAGTAAATTAAACATCTTGCCTTGAATCCTTCCCGAACCCCCAGTTTTTAACCTTGGTGCTGTTTTCATGGTGGTTGGCTGACTTGTTTGTTTTACTCTGGCAGGCGAATATCCATGATGAAGAACCTGCTGGCCCCCTACGAGCAAAGACCCTGGGCCCAGACCAACTGGATCCTTGTACGACTGTGGCGAGTAAGAACAGATAACCCTCTGCCTTCACATTTTGTTCTGAATTTCCAGCTTGTAGTTTTAAAACCAGCGGTTTCCCCTGTGTTTGAACTTTCCCTTAACTTCTTGTTTGAATTTTGTTACCTGCTTCTGGCAAGAGGGTCTCCATGTTCCTTGTTGGGAGATAATGCAAGGTCTTCTAAGCAGACATTTCTCCCTTCCCCCCCTCTCCTGTAGGGCTGTGGATTTGGATACAGGTACACACGGCTTCCTCACCTCCTGAAAACCAAGCCAGAAGATGCCAATCTCCCCAGCTTGCAGAGTGAGTGGGGGATAGGGAGTGGAGATGTGTTGCTTTGCCAATACAGCTTGTGGGTAAATGCAGTTCTGTAACTGAGCTTATCCTAATCTGGTTAGCTGTTGACTCTGGCACCAGAAGGGCAGGATCCTGTTGTGTGGTGCCCCCACACTGCTGCTGTCTGTTGGCACAATAATCGGCACCAGTGGATCCTGTCTGTGTAACTGCTGGGACCCAGCATGTCTGGGAGCTAGAGGGCTCCTGATTCCATGTAATATAAATAAGTTGTCTCTGTCCCTAACTTAAATGTGTGTGGCAAACTCAGGGTGAAAAGTTTCTTATTAACTTCCTGACCCAGCGCTCTTCTATTTTTGAGTGCAAAACCTTAAAAAAAACCCCACCTCCATATAATTGTGATCACCCTGGTTGTTTTCACTGGTTCACTAGGTGATGACCAAGAAAGCTCTGATGTATATTTATAGGAAACAAAACATTTTAGCAGCATATGGCCAGATCAGGCATAAATTGACAAAGTGTGAAAGCATCCCCAAAGGCACACCAGGTTATAGCTTTAAGGAGTAAAATTGATTTTTCTAAGGAAATCAAGTTGATCGGCATTGGTGGTACATTGGATCCAGCAGGCACTGCTTCTCTTGCAGCTCTGGGCTGGTCCTCTTCTGTGAATGTTAGTCCTACTTTGTTCTGAGGCATTTGCCACTCCCTTATGGCAGCCATGGTTTAGTAATCAGGCTGGTCTCCCAGTGTTACCACAGTACTCAGAATGGCTTTATATCCAGCATGGCAAGGATCTCTGAGAGACTCCAGTTACAAGCTGTAGGGGGAGCTTTGGCTTCTCCTCTGTAGTTACTGATCTAGTGAAGGGAATGGATGGCATCTGTGTTGGCTGAGTGGAATGGCAAGTTATGAGTTGGTCCTGCACTCTTTCTTTGAGGGAGCATATAATGCCGGGACAGAATGACCAACCTCACAGCCCAGCAGAAGGTGGCAATAGTACACCTGCTTGACCCTTCTAAGAAAATTCGCATCTATAATGTTTCTCTCTTTGTTTTGTTTTGCTTTTTTCTTTTCTGCTTTTTTTGGGGGCCCAGGAGATCTCTGCTGTTGCTAGTTTCCAGAGTAAGTTTCCTGTTGTCTTCCCTTTGTATGGTGGTGACATAGTTTTATAGCCTTCTAGTAGAGCCTTTTCCCGCTCCCACCCTTGGTGCACAAGCCGGTCCTTTGGAAATGATGGGGTAGAAAGATAAAGCGGGATGAGTCTGGCCTGCACCAAGTGATGGTCCTAAGAGCCATCCAAATGTTTGTCATGGCGACCTGTCAAATGTGCCTCAGGGTGGGTGGTTAAGTATGCATCTCCCTTTAGTTTGGAGGGAATATTACGAGTGCACAGCAAATATGTGTAGGTGCTGTTAATGTGCTCTCCATAGCAGTTTCCCCTTGTGGCTGTGGTGTCAACTGTCCTTTCCTCTTTATTCTTCTCCATTCCACTTTTTTTTTTTTTTTTTTTTTACACTTCTCCTTCTGAAAAGATGGACACAACAGGGAACAGAAAGGTTGAGCAGATACAGCTTCCCTGAAACTGCTAGCTCCAGTTCTGGCCCAGTTCTGCAGGCTAATAAGCTGGCTGTCATGAAACTCATCCCTGGGGGTGCGGTCATTGAATGACCTTGGAACACCTATGCAATTGGGTTCACTTTTCTAGGTGTCGGCAAGGTCATCAAGGTCATCGCTGTCTGCCAGTGATTTCCTCCATGTGGCTCCGAAAGGTTCTAAGACAGGGCACAGGATCCTTGGCTAGTGATCCTGCTTTCTGCTATTTTGAGGTGTACTTGAATGAATAATTAATACCAAGTTAAATTGAAAGGAGCCTATTTACCAGCTGTCCTTGGGAGCCTGCCCTAGAGGGGCTGAGTCCACCCCCCTCTTGCAGGTGCTTTGTGATGCTGCAGGGAGAGATGGGAGCACAGACAATGGAAGAACACTATCAGGTGATGCTCTGGCCATTACTTGAGGTGGAATATCTGAATGTGAAAGTCAGCTCACCTCCTGCCTGTCCTGTTACAATCCCCTCGCCTTTTGTGCCTGAGTTACTGCTATGCTTGCCTAATGTTGATGGGCAATTTAGGGGCACAACCAGTGGATTAGTCGTCATCTGCTCTCTAGCCTCAAGTTGATTAAGGAACAACTCATGCTCATTTCCTGTCTAGGGCCCTCTTAGTAACTTTTGTTACTAAAGCGATGATGGGACTGGCTGGCTCCTAAGAGAGGAGAACATGCACGTACATCCTTCTAGCTTAGTCCTCTACTGGCTAGTTTTGTGAGCCTTTGAGTTATAGGTCCTGCTGTTAAGAGAGTTGGCTAGAAGAGCTCTTAAATCTTAATTCTCACAGTTGTGAGCCTTTCAGCTGCATTCTCTTGAAAGCAAGCAGTGCTCTCACATGTGTGTCACTTTGGGACTCTCAATTGGCAGGGATTTCATTTCAGTGCCAAACTGAAGCTTAGTCCGACTCTGCCTGACAGCTTCCTCCTGGTTTACATCTGATCTCTAGCATGTTCCAAAGGAGGGGAAAGTGATGTGAGGTGTGCTCCTGGGGTGGGGTGCCATCAGTGTATCTCAGATTTCTTTTTTCACTGCTGCAGTCCTAGTGATGTCAGTAGTATCTGCTGCTGGGTTATAGTTCCATTGTGAAAAGTTTTACCTTAGCCCCTGTGTCTAAGGGAAGTGAGGAAACAAATGACCCTCCTTTTAGACTCTGATGAGGAGGACTTATTAATGAGAGCTAGCAAAGTTCCTGTAGCTAACACACACACACACACACACACACACACACACACACAATATTAATTTAAAATGCACCCCTGTTTCAGGCTTGCTTTTAGGTTCCATTGGCAGGCTGGAAAAGAGTTGGGTTTAATTCCTCCTCCCCTTTAGATTTCTCGCCCTGATCGGAAATTGGCAAACAAGTGTGAACATGTGCCATGCTGGCAGAGAGGAGTGGGACTGTCTGTCTTGGGTGCTGATTCCCTGCTAGGGAGCTACTGTGATGCTGCTTTCAGGAGAGATTAGTGCTGAGCTGACCTAGGGCATTGTGGGGATGAGCAGGAGGGATGCTTGGCTTGAGCTCAGCTGCAGGGCACAGCTTCTTACTTGCAGAGAGAGACAGCAAATGTGCATGACCACATCCCAGCTAATTCAGACCGGCATTATGGCAAAGAGCTCCGGGCCTTGGAGACGGGACAGGCTCAGAATAGTCCATGTGTGAGAGCTGGCCTTGGAGGGCAGCTGCCGCCTCTACTTATTGTAAAAGGGCCTCTGCTGGGAGGAGGCTCCAAGAATTCCTTGTGATTTTTGAGAGACAAAACCACGCTGAATGCAGTGAAAGGGGCACATACTTATAAACTTATAAACTGTTCCCCATTTCCACACGATGGCAGTGAAACAGGCTGGGCTTGGGCAGCAGCTGCCCAGCACCTTCCGGTAGTGTGGCCTCTTAAGAAGCCGCTGTTGTTTCATTCCAGAGCCTTGTCCCTCCACCCTGCTGCAGCGACACATGGCGGACCTGCTGCGGAGTGACCGTGAAATGGCACCCAGTTTCCTCAACAGTGTGCTTAACCAGCTGAACTGGGCCTTCTCAGAGTTCATTGGCATGATTCAGGAGGTGAGAGTTTTGGATCCGGAATGAATCTGATTGAAGGAGTAAGCCTCTGCCTGTCATCCTGGAGGATAAAAACAAAAGTCCTTTCCTTACTAGGGAAGCAGTTTGCAGCACAGTTCTTGTGGGATGCTGGGATTGAGCTGACTTGTGCATGAACTGGAAAAGGGGGAGGGTTAGGGGCAGGTGTGAAGAGAACAGCTGCTCCCCCTTCCAGTTCTTACATTAAGCTGCATCTGTTTTGCTTGGGCAGATCCAGCAAGCTGCAGAGCGCCTGGAAAGAAACTTTGTAGACAGTCGCCAGTTGAAGGTGTGTGCAACGTGCTTTGACCTGTCAGTGAGCCTGCTCAGGGTCTTGGAAATGACGGTCACACTGGCTCCTGAGATCTTCCTGGACTGGAGTCGCCCCTCATCAGAGCTATTACTCAGGAGACTTGCACAGGTACTCACTTCTCCGCAGGAAAACATTAGGTTGGGTACATGGCAAGGGGCAAAGGTTTTTAGCTGAGGATGTGGGTGCTGTCATTTGGCACAGTCACAGTTTCCTGGTGAACTATATTATTCTAAAAGAATGTGTCACCATGGCTCCCCCCCCCCACTACTGTCTTACTCCGTTAGTGATTATTCAGAGATTGTGTGTATGCATGTCTGCAGCAAGATAAAGGTCTCCAGTTCACTGCCCTTTTTCTTCTTTGGTAAGCCTTAATTTCTTCCTGGAAAAGAACTCCAGAGTAAAGACGGCCATACATTTCAAGAAGTGGAAGGATAAGCCAATCTGTACCCTTCCCGATGATATTCCTAAGAATCTCCTTCTCTGGGCTTCAGCCCTTGCTTCCTTTTTCAAATGCCTTAATGCCCCCTACGGTTAACTTAAAGCTTTTAAAGCATGATGTATCAGTAAATCATATTTTCTGTCAAGCATCAATTCATACTCACATGTTTTCATTATCCATGCATCAGACCCATCCAGTACAGACAGAATAATTCGTTCATTCATTTATTTCAATGTTTTCATATCCCTCCACCTGTTTGCTCCAGATTGGAGCACAAAGGTGGCTGTCAGCACAGCTTACAATGTAATTTAATATAAAACAGAACAAAATTGTAAGTTCATTAAGGAAAATAGCAACACAAAGCTGAAACACCAACCAGCATCAACAATATCAGATTCCAAAGGCCCGGACAGGTAGCCTTGCATGTTCCATTTCCATTGTCCATGGTCAACCTGGCCACCATATGACCAGACAGTTGATCAGCAGATGTCCTGGCAAGATTACATAGCCACTTGAGTGAAGATGCAAAATCTTACAGCCATTAGCCATTAGGTAACAATGGAGAACATGAAACGTACAGATGTAGACACTGATGCTTAAAGATGGGGAGGGCAAGGTGTGCATGTGACTTGGGACTTGCTTGCATGGGTCACTGTAGCAGATCCATCTGGAAACCTAGTTTGAGTTGTCATGCGATGACTGGCCATGCAAAGAGGCTTGCAGCACACCAGAACCACTTTTAAGCAGTTACATGCAGATGAAGTGACCAAACCACTCATATTTGTTCTGAGCACATCTGTTCACACAACCAACTATAGTGCAGTGTTTGAAAATAGGTTGACCAAAAATGTCAGGTTTTAATTTTGAAATGAACTCTTTGAAAGGCTTTTATGAATTGTTTCTTAAAAGAGTGCAGTACTTATCCCTGAAGGGGAAAGCAATGTGCCAAATGTTCTTTGGGTGCCTCTTTCAGAATTCTGCCACGTTCTAGTTGAAACATCAGCTTGCTCTCTGGAATGATGACTCACTGCTGGCTATTTCCTCATTTTGCTCAACTTCTTTAAATCAAATATCACTGCACAACCTTGCATGTACCTTTGTGCTAAGGTTCCACTGTACGCATGTGGAAATTTGCCTTATTAGAAAGAGACCCCATCCATCCATGGAATTAAGAGCTGTTTTGCCTTCTAAGAGTTTTTTCATTGAAAGTGTCCACAGCCTGAGATGTGAGCTGATGCAACCCGAGCCACATTTTTCAGTCTGTTATTGCTGAAGGCTCAGGTCTGTTGTCATTCTCATGGTTCACAGAGAGGCCTGTCATATTTCTTTTCTGAGCAGCCCAGCTGATGGGTATCCTCCGTGCCATGAAATCTAGGGCCACACAGAGCATTATCATGCATCCATCTAGTATCTCACCATCTGCTGTAAAATATATGTTCTTGGAAGACCGTCCTCTGCTATTGTGGGTCTGAAAGGCAGATAGTTCCAAGGCATAAAGGAAGGAACTACCCTCAAGGCCCTTTTCTGTAACCCAATACACCTTATTACAATGCAGTGCCCAATATTGTGCCTGCTGTTGTAGAGAGATTTCTGATTCCGAGGGAATTGAGTTGTCTAAACCCTGATGATCAGACTGGAAAGTATCAGGAGTAGCATATGTGCATCTCTGCAAGTGTGCAGAGAGAGAACTTGCATCTTCTGCTTTAATCATTCTGCCATCTCTTCTTCCTTCCCCACAGCTGCTAAATCAGGTGCTGAATCGTGTGACAGCTGAGCGGAACTTGTTTGACAGAGTGGTCAATCTTCGTCTGCCAGGTGAGCTTCCTTCCCAGCCACCTTGCAGTCAGTCCTGCTTTGGGAGAGGGACCATAGCTCAGTGGTAGAGGATGTGCTTTGCATGCAGAAGGTTCCAGGTTCAGTCCCTGGTAGCTCTAATTCAAAGGAGCTCAAAGGTGATGGCAAAGCTGTCTGAGACCTTGCAGATCCACTACCACTAAAGAGTAGGCAAAGCTAGGTAAGAAAGACAAAAACTCTGACCTGGTGTGAGGCAGCTTCCTTCATTCTTATGTGATCTAAATTCTGCCGTCATTCCTGGGAAATATTCCTCTCTCCTTCTACAAACTCAAATGAATGTTTCCAGTGGTTGTGGGCATTCATTGTGTCTGCACAGGGGCTTCACCCACTCCCAGTGTGGGTGAGCCAGTGTGGTGTAGTGGTTAAGAGCAGTAGATTTGTAATCTGGCGAACTGGGTTCGCTTCCCCACTCCTCCACATGCAGCTGCTGGGTGATCTTGGGCTAGTCACACTTCTCTGAAGTCTCTCAGCCCCACTCACCTCACAGAGTATTTGTTGTGGAGGAGGAAGGGAAAGGAGAATGTTAGCCACTTTGAGACTCCTTTGGGTAGTGATAAAGTGGGATATCAAATCTAAACTCCTCCATCTAAACTCCTCCTCCCAGTCCTTTGAACAAGATAGGAAATATCTGTGGGGAGAATTCTGTGCTGACCTTTTATCTCTGATTATGGTGTCAGTGCAACTTCCATTGATGCCACTGCTCCCTCCCATCCGCTCTTCAGATAGGCAGGAGCCCAACAGAGCACACGTGAGAATGAAAGATAGCATCCAATCCCAAAAGGAAGCCCCATGTGGTCTTGGCCTTCATTGCTTACAGAAATGCATAAAACCTGCAATGATGGGAAATGGGATCTTTTGGCTCTAAACAGTAAGCAGTCATTAAGTGATGGCTGTGTGCCCACCTACTCAGGGTGAAGGAATCCATTCTTGTACAGAGCTTGTTAAATTGCAAAGTAATCTTTAGGGAGGCAAGATGTCCTGCTTCCGCACTAAAAGCTGTCAGAGAGTGATACCAGTGAATGAGCAGGAGCTGCATTTAACTGCAAAATTGCTGACTAGATTCCACTTACGCTATAGCTCCATTATCTTTAGCCCTTCATTTTGGCTGGTTATTCTGGTGTCTTATGATGAGAAAAGGACAGCATGTGTTAGCAGTGTGTGCACTCTCTGCCTGTCCCCCCACGCTCCTGCAGAGCATGGACCCTTTTCCTTCACACAGCATTATTAAATAACTGCTGTGGCACACACTGCTGCAGATCTATGTCATACTGATCAGTATTAGGAAGTAAGCAATATTGCTGAGTCAATGTGCCCTTGTGTTCCTTCTTGGGGAACAAGGGCTCAACCCTCATTGAAAATTGAGATTGTGAATGGAGAGAGCTTAAAAAGATCCACACACTTCCACACATTTTTACACTTTCCTATTCTTTGATGGATTCATTCATTTGGCATCTGTGTGACGTAAGTAGTGTGATAGAAAGAACATTCTGGAATAGGTATGGTCATAAGCATGTGGAGTAAAGGACCATATGAATAGCTGTCATCCTGAAGAAAATTGTCTCTGAAGTGTGCCTAATTTTAAATTTGGACAAGCTTGTTTTACCCCCCTCCGCTTCCCTTAAAATTTTGAGCATTGCTTTAGTCATACTCCCAGCTCGAGCACCTCTGCCCTGTTGGAAACATGGGGCATATTGGCATGTGTAACCACAATCAAGTCTTCCACATTTCAAAGCATTGGCTACTTTCATGCTCACCTAGAAGCAGGAGAAAATTGGAATCATCACTCAGCACTTCTTCAGACCTGTCTTCAAGTGCCGTTTTCAAGGTTATGTGCTTGAGAAACACTGTGTTTGGGTGACTCGGGGGATTGTATACTGACTGGAAGGTGGAGGAATGCTGGACCACTACTGAAGGGCTTAGCACCATTCCATTTTTTTTGCACAATCCTTTTAAGTGCCCTTCTAATAGAAAACCAGACAGTGGCATTAGCAGAGATGAGCAAGTGCTTTCTCTAGTGTTTGTCACTTACCTCTAAGATTTCCTGTTTGCCAAGGAGGTTCATTCTGTTTTGTCCAGGGTTGTCCATACTGGGAGTGGTGGTGGAGGAGGACTCATTTGAGCTTATGGTGCTCTAGCAAAGGCCTGATGAAGCTGATGGATGTAGTAGTAGAAATCTTTAAGTGAATTAATACAAACGTTTATCTCCTCCTGGTCTCCTGAAAACTTAGGCTGGTGGTGTTCCTCAGTGCAGTGCTATGCTAATTTGTCCTCTGCTATAGTTAAGAAGATAAAAAGGGGTGTAAACTAACTTTTCATAGTACTGATTGTAATTTGAAATACCTGCTTTCTTCCCTAGGACTGGAGAGCGTAGATCACTATCCAATCCTTGTGGCTGTGACAGGAATTCTGGTCCGGCTGCTTGTTGATACTGACTTCCAAGGGTAAGTGCTGCTTAATTCCACGCCATGGCGATGAAGATTTCATTGCTTGTGTTCTAGTTTACTATTCTGAAATGAGCAGCCTGGCTGCATTGTGTATTAGGGTAATGATGCAGTCTTTGTCTTTGCCCCCTGTTTTCATATGCTCAGTCTAGTTGCAGGATAGTAAATCCCCAAATAATTTCTGTCCTGTACGTTGGTCTCTGGGTGCTTTGTGCTGCGACTATAGTGTACTTGAGAGCTATTGAAAAGAAAAAAGGGGGAGACATCCTGTCAATTTAAACCTTCCATTGAATTATTTAAAGAGGTAGCCAACGCGGTGCCCTCCAGATGTTGTTGGACTACAACTTGCATCATCCCTGGCCCTTGTTGGCTGAGGCTGATGGGAGTCGGAGTCCAACAACATCTAGAGTATTAGCCACTCTCTGGTGTAACTTTGTTTGCTTTTGTTCTCTGCTTGCTTCTGTTCTCTGCTTACATGGCTGTGTAGCTCATGCAACCTATACTATATTATGCTCCTTGGTTGTTGTGTGGTGTGGGTTCATGGCAGAATCTGCTTAGGGGGTGGACAGTTGGACAAGATGATCTTTAGTTCTACTCTATACTTACAGTAACTTTAAAGGGAGATCTGTCCTATCTCGTATGTTTCTCTTCATCTTCTTGTTCTTCTTTTTCTAGAAAGAGCAAGCTTTGGGATTTAGATCTGGGAATGGTCCTGCCCAAAGGAAAGCAGGCCATTTCTTTTTACCTTTATGCATAGGCACCACTCACATCATGCTGTAGCAAAAGAATACTCTTTCTGCATATGCAGTTACCTTCCTAAACTGAGCAATGCTGGCAGCAGATCGTTTAGACAGATAAAACTGTAAAGACATGCTGTGTTTGGTTGTGTTAAACAGTGAATATGTCTAGCTGCAGTAGCATATGACAGTGGAAAATAAGCCAAGTCCCAAGGGAAGGTGGCTGCTGACATGCCCCTCCAGATCTACTGCAGTGTGGCTGATAGCATTCTTGCTTTGCCTTCATTGCCCTTGTTATGGTACTCAGACAGACGTGATGGACAAGTCCCTTCCGCAGCTCTCAGGACTTTTAGAGACAGTGGGTTGACACTCGCTTGTCATCTGATAATCTCCCATCCTGTTGTGTTTTTTGAAAAAAACAAAACTAGCCTTTCCATTATAAATTAGGTACTGGTAGTAGCTACTCTTATGATTTCCAACCTAGAAAAAAATCATGTCTCTTAACAGGCAGGGTACGTTAGTTGAATCCTGCCCTGTGGTTACCAGGATGGCGGGAAACCAGGCCATGATATTAAACCATAGTTGGAAGGTGGTTTACAAACCTGGTTGTTCTGATCCTGATTGTCATAGTTTCATGGTTCAGACATAGCAAGAAATTATGTGAAATTGAAGACCTCTGGGGTTAATTGCAACATGCTAAGACAGGAAGAAGTGGTTTGGCTGGCATAAGGTTTGTTCATATCTCGGCTGATTAAGTTTTGATACAATCAGCTGAATGAGGTAAACAACTTCTCAAATGCAGGCAGTCAATAAATACATTTTGCATTTAATTCCACTCTTTTTGATGTCTACTGTGGATCTTAAAGTAGCATTAAAAACAGCTTTCAGCACTTCCTCTCACCCCTCTGCCTCACTTGGGGAAGGACATCTTTTACTTCCTGACCTTTCCAACT